AAAATGGTTCATGAGGCACGCACGTGAGCAGCTTGTGGGTAATGTGATTCGATAGCATAACATTAGCTACACATTCCCCAAGTGATTTACAACTTATAATGGCATGGATAGTGGTTAGACATGGTTCAAAAGGCAATAAAACAATATAATTTAATTATAAATAGATGTATAATGTTGCAAACCTAAAGCTAATTGGGATAAACAAATGTAGTATCATATTACAATTTGAAGTCATTCTAGAAAGAAAAAAAAAGGTAATTTAGGTTTATTTCGATTTTTTTCTTTGGTTATTACGATGTCAGTTGGATTGACCGATCCTGTTTTGAGATAAGGTAGAGAAAATAACAGATAAACTATACAGTTTTACTGAAAGAAACATTTGAAGTGTATTTTGGAGGTTTTAGGATTACACAAAGGAAATTTGAGATGAAGAAAAGTATTTTTAATCTTAACATGAAAATTACTTTGCACACAGACTATTCAAAACAAATACTCAATATATTAATGGACAAATCTTTTTTATATTTTGTTAAACATACTTCACTAAAAAATATAATTTTTTGTATGTGAAAGACTTTTAATATGAACTGAAAGACTGCCAAATTTTTTGAAGATATATACACTATATTGAAAGTTCAAAGTATTAAATCTATAAACACTTTAATTGAGTACAAAGAGGTCACGTGGTCAGTCAAATTGACCGAGCCCATGTTGAGAGAGTTAATAGGTAGGTACACAACAATATATAAGCATAAGGAAAAATTTTGTTCATGGTGGAATGTACTACATGTTTTGACAGAACATTGGTCTGTCTTCAGGCATGATCAATACTAAGCTATACACAGTTTATATAACATTATGAAGACAAAAGGATTAAGTAAGATGGAAATATGTCAGTAGGTGACCGGATATAGTTAAAGGTCAAGTCTGGTTGATTGTATGAGTTGTGAATAGGGCTTGCCAAATACAGTTTATGTTGCTGGAACCATCATACGGTGTAGTAAGAGATTGTTAGCTTTGATGATTTCTGTAGTTTCTAAATAGTCTCTTTCTTTTTTGGGTTGGTGTAGTAGAAGGATTTCATTCCACAATATTTTGTGACCTGTTTCATATTGATGATATGTTAGGGCAGATGTCTATAATTCAACCCTATGCATGTGACCTTGGTGTTCTTTGCATCTTATTTCTAAAGAGCATAATATTTGTCCTATGTATTTCTTGCCACATTCACAAGGAATACTATAGATGCCCTGCTTTTTTCTTTGGGCAGAGATTCTTTTGCATAAGTTAGTAAGGTATTAATTTTATGTGAAGGTTTGTATACAGTTTTTACGTCAATGCTCAAATTATTAAAATATTAAGTGATTTAGTTTGTAATTTCTAGAATAAAAGGGAATGAAACAAAGTTATTGTGTTATTTGTTATTGATAGGTGAAAGGTTGGAATTATTATGATATTCTTTACTGTTTTTAAGTTTGAAACATGATCCAACATTTCTAAACAGTATGTAATTTTAGCTAAAAAGAAATCATAATTTGATTTCATATTTTATACATTTTTTAACTGTGAAATTTTTTAAACTTTTTTTCAGAGACACTTCTCTTTTCTCTTAAGATTTCAGTTTTTTTATTGATCAGAAACTTCCATTTTATGTTACCCAGTCAGTTGCAACTTGATTTATATTCATTAACCTTTGATACTTAATTTTGTTGATTGCTGTATATATTCACTGGTTCCAGCTGGAATGTATAAAAAGTACAGCAAAAACTGACAAATATTTATTGGTCATATTGGAAACTCCTTTCAAAATTGTGTCACCATTTACCTTTATCAGCCGAGGTATAGAGATTTTTAGCCACTGCAAGTACAAACCTTTAGCTCATAGCTACATCATCTCTTGACTGAATTTAGATCTAATTACAGTTTTGGACTCGGGAGGTCAAACCCTTTTGCTTGATGTATTTGACCACACCCAAGGTCTTGAAGATTAATTTACTCTAATCCTGCTTAAAAGAATTTGAGGGTAGGCTGGTAGAGATCCTGATGAGTAATGAAATCGAAAAATTTATATGCATGCCTCATGCTTGGTATTGCTGGTGCACAAAAATAAAGCTAATAGAAAGGAAAAAAAGATCTCGTAGAATAATTTACTCTAATCCCGCCTAAAAGAATTTCAAGTACTGCGGCTATTGAGGATCTCCTCTTGTTGCTAACAGTATTTTTAATGAAGATCAACTTATATCTAATAAATTTTTGTGTATATTATTGGAAAATGATAAGCTTAAAAATATCATTCAATAAGTAAGAATTTGAGTGATCAGAATATTTTGCTAAGTCTAAGATTACAGGATGTCTTATCATTGAAGAGAATTTTCAAACAGATATAAGTAAATATGAAAACATTTTCAGGAAAGCAAATAATGCCTAAAGAAGCTGTTAAAATTTTCCAAACCTGTAGATTAATGTTTTAAATATTCATGATTTTAAGACAAATCATTTAAATACAAAAAGAAATAAAGTTTAAGATAAACCTTGTTATTTTTATTGCTAGAAAGAATAACATATACCAATACCTAATACATCAGTGAGGAAAATTTACATGTTTAAAAAGAAATTGTTTTAATTTCTGCCAAGTATTAAAATAAAATGGTTTATGTACAGTTTGTGACTTAAATTTCTAATGAAAAGTATGTCATAATTCCATATTATTCCTTTCTGAAAGATACTACAAGTTTTCAAAGTGATTTTCATTCAATAAATTTTTAACTTAGAAGCTATTTCAGTGATCTCTTGATTTTTTTTATTGTTTTATTTAGTACTTTGTTGCTTTTATTGAGAAGTTGTTTTAGAGGCATATACATTACAGATAAATATTTATTAACTTTCTGTATACTTACAGCAGACCAAAAAGTTGGAAGCGCCCCCAATTCGAAGTGCCGGGCACCACATCCCACTTCTCACAGTTCCGTGGGCTGGTCCCAAAATAAGACTGGAACCTCCTCCTTACTGTATCTGTTTCCAATGTTTCTACTCAGCCAATCTGTATTGTTGTTGTGTTTCTGCCAATGTTGATTATGAAGCTTCAGCTACAAGTCCCAGTGCTCTCAACAATATAGTCCGTAGCCAGAACTGTATGCAAAGAATTAAAAAGAAATGTTTTTCTGCTCTTCCATTTCTTAAAGATAGTATTGCTGCTTTATTGTTTAATTCATTTTGTTATATTATTGATCACAGCAATGAACCTGAGCATATAGTGGAACCTCATAGATATAAAACATTTAGAGAGTTATATATTAGGGGTTATCTGACAAATTTAAACTGGGAAACAAGAAAATCATTATCATTTGGTGATTTTTTGACTTCCAAAGAAGTATTAGCAGGCTAGATTATATATGTACTCAACTGCACCACCATGTTCCCAGAAGAGCAGCAACTTTTTATCTTCGGAGGCTTCAAGTCTTAACTGGAAGCTCCAGTTTGTAGAAACCAACTGTGCAAGTTTGAGAAGGAAATTGAGACACACTGATCAATACCATAGAGCTACCAGACTTGTTTGTGAAGAGAACCAATCATTGTCATGTAGTTATGCATGCTTTAAGGATGGTAACTGCAGCAATGAATTGTCATCTTATTTGTGTTTTTCTCCTATATGTAATTCTAGTAGCTTTAAAGGCTTAGAAAAACAGTGAGAGAATCCGTGCAGTTGAATTCACATTTTGACTCTTTTCAGTGTCTGCCAAACATTTTTCTATAAAACCTCAAATCAATATCCATCAATTTTACCAAATGGTGTTACTATTTCCCAGACCTTCAAGGTATTGTTTAATAAGTTAGTCAACAAGTGAACCTACACCTCACTACCAGTCTGAATTGTTAACTTATAAACCTTAAAAAATGTTATGAGTCAGAGTTAACAACTTATGAACCTACAGACCCATGCTAGTCAAGTTCATGCTTCTATAAATCGTAAGTATATACCTATGAATTATTTACCAGTCAGATCTATCACTGTTTGCCTCTACAGATCATTATGAGTCAAAACTGGCAACAGTAAAACCTCTGAGTTATAATAAGTCATATTTATCAGTTTATAAATTAAAAAACCATTACCAGTATGGTTTATCAGCTTGTAAAACTAGCAAGTATCACAAGTCTAGTTTTTCACTTCACAGAAATTCAAGGTATTACCAGTATTAGTTACAATTTTACAGACCTTCAAGATATTACCAGTATTAGTTACAATTTTACAGACCTTCTGGATATTACCAGTCAGATTTATCAGCTTACCTACTTACAGAAAATTATTGGACAGATATGTACAATTCTCATGACCATTTTCTCGCATCTAAAAGAGACCATAGTATAAATTTGTGTAGGCCAACAGAAATTGATGAATTGAAAATTTATAGATTAAGTGAACAGTGTACATTAAGGTTTAACAAATCTGTAGATGATCAACAACTACAGGTTTTCAAAGAGCAGCAGGCAGTACTTACTGTGGTAATGAATGAAAGCCAGGTTGTAGACTTAAAATTTGTGTGGGCCTTGGGTGAAAAAGTGGTAATGTGGTTGTTTTTATGGAGAATTTTATATCACTTTTGTTCATTTTTCTCCTATTTGCATCATCTACTTTAATTCTTGTAAGAGTAAAAATATTCTAAGTAGGTGTATGTATGTGATATATCTGTGTATGTAAATGTGCATGTATGTATATATCTAACATTTTAGGATAAATGGATAGACACTTTTGTCAGTTTTCTTTTTGTGTTAATTAGTAAATGTATGCATACAAATTTTATTATGGACTTGTGAATGAACATTATTTAATTTATCCTTTTTTCTAGTTACATATTCAGAATGATACAAAAAGTGTATCAATTCTAGTATTTTGTAGTTATAAGTAATTTTTGTTTTTATGAACCAGTAGCAGCTGTTCGCATATGTTTATGAAATCATGTTAATAAGCAGTCAAATTTGGTTTCATAGTTTGTAGTGTAAAAGTTTATTCAAAATATTATAAATACATTTGAACATTGGTTTTTATCAAACATACAGGACAACAGATCACAGAATTAGGCTTTTTTCAGTGTATTGTTGTTTTTGAAGTGTGCAAGATTTCATAGGAATGCGATTTATAATTAAGCATTTCAGTAATTTGTTGTATATAAATGAGTAGTTGTGTTATTTTTGTCATAAATATCAAAATTTTGTTTAATTCATTGAAAATGCTCAGGTTTGTTGCTGTTGTGTGCATTATTCTTCTTGATGAATTTTACATTAATTCTGTAAAAACAATTTATGTCCAGATGATACTTTATCATTTTGGGTGTTTATAACTAATATTTAATCTTTAGTCAGAATATAATCAACATTTTGGGAAATTGATTCTTGTTACCATGAAAATAAAAAAACTACTTTGTTGTTTTAAAAATATTTGTGTATATTGTTTAAAAGTGTCTGGATGTTTTGATTTGCAAACTTAACTAACTTGAACTTGAAATTTGTATTGGAATTTATGGTACTTTTTATGTTTGTTGTTTCCTAATTAACATATAAGAAATGGCTCCAGAAACCATGTATCTGGCTTAAAAGCTGTACTTGTGAAGAAAGTTCATAAATCAACAAAATATATAGAGGGTAAGTTTCAATGAGTTAGACTGAAACTCTGAGTAGAAAAATTACTGTTTATGATATATATTTATATATATATATATACACACACACACACACACACACACACACACACACACAC